GGTTTTAATTTAGGGTTTAGGGTTTTTAAGGTTTTGGGCTTTACGGTTCGGGGTTTATGGTTTTAGAGCTTTAAGGTTTTCAGGCTTTTAGGGTTTTGGGTTTTGGGCTTAGGGTTTCTAGGGTTTAGGGTCTTAGGTGTTTGGACCTAGTCCGGAACCTTCCTAGAGTCCCTAAGCCCCGAAATCCATATCCCCAAACCCTGAAGTCCCTTCCCTCTGGACCCTGAACCCGTAAGACCCTCACCATCACTGGCCTCCGGATCCAGCGGCAACTTCAGTTAACCCTAACATCACAAAGTTGCGATACCCTTGCATCCGAATCCTTTCTCAATCACTCAACACCTAGAGCCTCCAGAACACCAAAAAAAACAGAGCCCAAATGCCCCAAACCAGTTTTCAGGTCCTGTTTGAACCCCAAAACAATGGTCCCAAGGGCTTCATTTAGGTTGGAAGGCCTTGTTACCGTATGCCCCTTACAAGAACCCTTAGGCCTTAGGCCCTCTTACAATTCTTTAGAAAACGGTTTAGGGTTTAGGGTTTAGGGTTTAGGGTTTAGGGTTTGGGGTTTAGGGTTTAGGGGCCTGGAGCCCTAAACCCTGTACATCCCTATACATCCCTGCACATCCCTATACCGTAAACCCCTAACCCGCAACCCTAAAACCCCAACCCACAAACCTGTACCCTAAACCCTAAAAGCCCCACACCCGATAGCCTAAACCCCTAACCCTAAAACCCCACGCCCTGAACTCTAAACCCTAAAAGCCCTACACCGTGAACTCTAAAGCCCTAACTCTAAACCCTAAACCCCTAACCCCTAAAAGCCCCCCTAAGACGAACCCCAGAGCCGGTGCACCTTTGCGTAGGTGCGACGGCCTCTGGAATTTCGCGACTCTTGGAGCAGTTCCTGGAGATGGCGGTAAAAGGAATCCCGTTTAGGGCTTTAGGGTTCCCTTTGGAGTTCCCTTCTGGGTTCCCTTTAGGGGTTCCCTTTAGGGTTCCCTGTAGGGGTTCCCTTTAGGGTTCCCTTTTGGGTTCCTTGTAGGGGTTCCGTTTTGGGATTCCGTTTAGGGGTTCCTCCAAGGGTGTCTTAAAGGGCTTGTTTTTCTTTAGGCTTCCCTGAAGGGAACATTTGATTATGCGACTTCCCTAGCACATGCCGCCGCAACGACGCGCTTTTTGAGCGCTGCAACAGCGTCGGCTTGTTGTGAGAGGCCTTCCGAGCTCGATCGGGAAGAGGCCGCCAAACGTGACACATTCAAGAAAAGAAGGGGCCCCAGGGACCCTCTCTTTCAAATCAGCCCCCGGGAGGGAGGGCGGGAAGAGC